TGCCATTCAAGACTAGAAAGCTATAACTAGAATTATCTCGTGCACAGGAATTTTCAAATGCTATTTTTTGCTTCAACCTTTGGGAACACAAAATAGCATTCGAAAAGTCTGTGCATGAAATAACTACTACCTGACGAGCTTCTGCACCAACGCTGCGACATCACTGCTGAATTCAGGCAGCGTGCCAAGGCATCTTGCATTGCAAAGTGGACTGCTATTAATTTGCTGTTCCGGGTCTTGCAGAGTGGAAAGAATAAACCCCACAGAAGTCACACGTTTGCGCCCGTTTCATCTTCAGGCTGACGAAAGAGGTACAGTCTGTGCAAGTGAGGAAGTGGGTGCCAAATGCACTGAGGCCAATGCACTTCAAGGATCACTTGACCGCGAGAACTTTCTTCAGAAGGTGTGCCACGTTCTTGTGTGCACCAAGCCAATGAAAGACGATTGTCACTGTGGGCAGTCTGGGGTACCACACTAGACGCTACAAAGCAAAAAGAACTCCTCGACCCCATTACCAAGCAGTCATGGTGCGGGTAAGTTTTCACCGCGGGAGTAGGTTTCTATGTATACTTTATCGCGGGAACTGTTTTTAAATGGATATTGATCCAACTTGATGAATAGTCTGCTCGTTACATCAACATAATGCTGGTTTCAGTGGTGAGTTCGGCGAGCTCTTTTACTTCCCTCGATTGTTCAGTCCTGTGTTCTGGATGTGGATGTCATTATCCGGTGTATTTGGTTTCCTCATGGGATATGTCACCGGTTGGCAAATTCAGGTCAGTTATGTTGGTTTCTTAAGCTGATAATAACGATTCGTAAAACTTCGCAAAGCAGGTTGTGATCAGATGCGAAGTAAAGGTCAAATGCTCATAGTGTAACGCTATCTAATTATATGCTTCAAGAAAAAAACCAAGTGAATCCTCTTTGTTTTCATGGTTTTGCGCTGCCTCGGTTGATAGGTTCACATAAGTTACCTGCTGGAATGGTTCCTCGATGTAATGGACCGTTTGAGGTTTACCATTGCGACTGCAGTCCAGTGAATATACAGCTGCAAAAAAAATCTTGGAAAGAGCTCAGAAGTGCATCTCACCAGCTAACCCCATTTTATAGGCAGATTAGAAAAGGATACTTCGATAAGATACATGTAAAGATAAGATAGATAAGATACATCTTATCGTTTCCATCATAACAAAACAGCAGGTGAAACAGAATTGATAACAGAACACAACTGATATCAACACGCCTCGCCTTGGGGAGCCGAGCTCCAACAGCTACTTGAGTTCACTTTATTTTCTTTCTGCGTGTCTGCTTAATTGACTGCGCATGTCGGTTGTTCTGCTTGAGCATCTCGTAGATACATGACTTGGGGCCTGGTGATCCATGGCTTCTTCTCCGGTGGCTGTCCGCGGCGTCGTGGCTTGTCCTTGTCGTAGTGGTGGAACTTTTGTTGACTGGGCTAAGGCGGGCAATGACAAAGTTGTTGAGACTTCGGACGAGAGTGCTTTATTGAGCACGAGACGACAATTGACATCACACCGCACTGAGGGTCTTTTATAGACCTAATATGAATTATCACTGCTAACACAACAATGTAAACAACCGCTCCATTTATCACTTAGGGCAGTGAGCTCATTAGTATTGAGCGGTCTGCCGCAACACCTCCCCCCTAAGATGCAATGGTGGGATTGTTTTTTTTATACAATAACAACATTCATCTTATTAATGGGTAAGTTCTTTTGTCTACATGTAGGTCTCGCATCAGGTCACCATAAACATCTGAAGAAGGTGGTTTCTCAAAAGTTTGTGCAGACCCTACCCTTTGCTCCACGAGTGCTGCCAGTAGCTGATTGAACTGTTGGTTCTGCTGCTGGAACTGCTGGTTCTGCTGCTGGATTGCTGTTAGGAAGTGAGCCATCCACTGAGGTGCATCTCTTGAAGTGGCTGGAGCGCTGCTGCTGGGCATGTCGAGTTTCTTCAAGTTGACGGCTGCTCGTTGAACTTCTTCCGCAGGGGTTCTTCTGAGTCCTGATCGCCAGTGTTGAGACTTCGGACGAGAGTGCTTTATTGAGCACGAGACGACAATTGACATCACACCGCACTGAGGGTCTTTTATAGACCTAAGATGAATTATCACTGCTAACACAACCAATGTAAACAACCGCTCCATTTATCACTTAGGGCAGTGAGCTCATTAGTATTGAGCGGTCTGCCACAACAAAAGTACTCATCGCAAACTTCCGCACCTGGTTCAAAAAGCCTGCGATGGTGCTCCTGCGAAGAGCCAGGAGGTACCATCGCCGCATCGTGGGCTGATCCAGATGCTTGTGGCGGGGTGTCCGAGAGGCACTGTTTTGTCGATGGTTCCGTATGCATCGACGACCCGCGCATCGGAGCCTCGAGCGGGCCCTGTGAGCACCTCTACCACCTCAGAGCAGACCTTCTTTACGGCACGCTGTTCTTCCACATTGCAGATGACGCTCAAGAGCGTGCATGGCATGGTTGAAGTGTACAGCTGCTGGCATCTCGTTTGGCCATACCAGAACGACAGCGGCAGAAATTGAACGCTCATTCAAGCAAGTCCATCGAATGTAGTGTAGACCATGGTACTGATTTCC